CTTTTCTAATCATGAAGTCTCTTTTCTTATGCAATATTTCCACGATTCCCTCCCTTATGTCCTCTAACATGGTTATTATAGGTTTATGCCTAGAAGACAGAATGTATGCATTAAAAACCTCATTCATGTTGTTGTCTATACTGTCACAAGTTGCTTGTGGTGTCTGGTAAGCCCTTACCCATTTCTTGTGATTCATGTTCAACAAATCTTTTCCAGCTTCAGCATTTATCTTAGAGAATGTTTCCATATTAGTATTGAAATCATTCTCTGTAGTGCTCTTTGCTATCTTCCAGAAACCCCTCCTATACTGAACACCCCTTTAAGTTTGCTCCTAAAATTGCAGTAGACATGTCTTGCACAAACTCTTGTCTCTGCATCAGGCCAAACATTTGATATAGCATTTAGAAGTCCCTTTTGTTGGTCACTCATGATTGTGTAGCCATAACCATTCATTGTGTAGGAGAATATAGGTACTAAACTGCGGAATAGACATGAATCATATTCATTAAGCACCTAAACCAAGGATCTCATGCATAACATATAAAAAAGTAAGAATTATACCTTTAAAGCATGATTCCACAAGTAATTGAGCAAGAACAATAAGGAGAACAAGAACCCCATGTGTGATTCCTCTACTAAGTCCACGAGCACGGATTAAATCTCCAATAATGCTAGTTAGTTATGACCGAACACTTCAATCAACCTTCTACGGAGATAAAAGCCACGAGCACACCACAACACCACCCACGCGCCGCCACAGGAGGGGGTCGTACGGACAGGGAGGAGAGAGAGAGAGCCAAGTGGAGAGAGAGAGAGAGAGAGAGAGAGTTAGGGTTTTGGGAAGATTAGTTTCTTTTGTCACAATTCACTGTATGTCAATTGTTATATCATGAAACCCTAGGCATGGTTTATATTTATAGATCATATCTAAAATTAAACCATGTCAAGTCCAAAACCCATTAGACTCTTCTAACTATCCAAGCCCAACTATCAACATGGTATGTCATAAACTCATACCATGTGTGACCCAATACTCTTTTAACTCGTTTAACCCAATACTCTTATGTGTGACCTTGTAGGATCCACTCTATAAGGCTTTGGGCCATTTAGCTAGCCCAAAGATCAATTGTCATATCTGGCACCAAACATTGACGACCCTATAGAATGAACTAATTATCTCCATAACCGTTATCCTTGATATATCTAGTAATTGCACTTATCGAAGACATAACTCCTTCACATTGTCCCCAAGTCAACTACTAGTAGCTCTAGGAATCATTCCCAACTATCAGTGTTTTCAACCTCCACGCATGCCCAAGCTATGGGAAACATTTGATTGTTTCCATCCCTCCCCACAGCCACAAGTAGTTGGCCACCATATGGACCTTTCAAAAAACAAGTATCAATCCCAAAAAAGGTCTACAACCTTCCAAGAAGCCCCTTTTGATGGAATCAAAACAAATATATAGCCTTTGAAACTGGCCCTGATTCAATCCAAACTTGATTGTGTTCAAAGGATTTGCTATTTTGATTTCTTCTGCATATTTGTACAAAAGAGAGTATTGTTGTTTGTACTCCCCTATGATAAGTTTCTGACCCATTTTTCTTGCCTTAATTAACTGTCAACCAGAGACTCACCTTAACCCCAAATTCACTCCAAATTGTGGCAACAATCTCTTGACATCTAAGGTAAGGGTTAACCTTGAATTTCTTGTAATAGTTCTTAGCAATCCATTTAGCCTTTATTTTCTTCAGTTTAGGGACCCTACCACAAGTATGATTTGGAACAAGTGTTTTCACAGCCATAGTTCCACTCTGCTTCTCAACTGATGCCCAAATATACCAAGGACATCCCAAGTCATGCAGTCTACATCTTACCCCCAAAGCAGCTTTTGTGTTCCTAGTAAACACTAAATCTTTTCTCATGCTTACACTATAGTTGGTTAATGCCTTCATAAACTCAACAGCATCGTCAAACTGTTGTCCTAAGAAGAAATGCCCCTCATCATCAGGCCTCAATGTCAACATATGAGCAGAATGAGTCAGTGTCTTCCTCTTCTTCTGTTTGGGGTTGCTAGGAAGTAAGTGACCATAATCTTCCTCATCTGACTCATCAGGACTGTAAGGACAGTCACTGTCACTTTCTTCACACATATCAACATCACTAAGATCCCCTGCATTAAGGAGGCCACTTCTTTATCCCATTCCTTTTCCTTTTTATTATGGAGCAACAAATCCTCTCTTACCTTCCGAAGTTCTTCATCAGACTGGTCACTACCCTCATCATCATAGTCTATTTCATCATCAACTTGGTCTTCTTCATGGCTACTCCCATGTTGCCCCAAAAAGATTATGTTCTGTTACTACAATCTCTTATTTCTTTTTGCCTAGTTAACCAGCTTTCAATGCCCCTAGCAGTCCTAAGCACACTGCCAGCATCATTTTCACCAGCCTCATGCTCTGTGTATAGAGTTACTATTCTATACTTTACTAGCAAGCTAAAAAATTTCTGCAAATGTAGTATCATCATAACTTAGAAACCTGACCCCATTATTCAGTGTCTTATTAGGATCACGATAATGTAGCTTAATGATGTCATCATATCCTAAATTATCAATGACCCTTTTCAACCCAGCCACATTAAAGTCACAAGGAAGTTCATCAAATACTCTAAATTTACCATCAACATAGTCCAAATTAGGGATGTTTTTCCATTCACCGCCATAATGCACAATAAGAGACATAGGTAGGTCCTCCATCTACAAATAGTGTAATCAAGGCAAATAAATAAATATATTCAATATGAAGATAGAGCATATAAACTAACACAATAGGTAATCAAATTAGTACTTCAAAATCATCATTTCATTAATTATAATCATATAAGTACATCCATATCTTTGTCATAGTTGTGACATTGCCTTACAATTGCAAAAAGTACACTATCACACTAAACCATGACAAGGGAGCAAAAGAAACTAGATCAGATTCTATACATTAATACCTACCTAGATCATCAAGTTATACTTTAACTGACTGCCTCTAAAAGGCTAACAACAACAACTAGTACTTAAAGTCAGTTTAAAGCCAAAATAATGCCCTATAGTTACCCAAAAACCAACTCACAAGGCAATTCACCTAACAACAACACTACTCAAGCTTAATCTTCTTCTTCTGCCCACCTGGTTGAGTTGCTTCCTCCCTCTTCCTTTTTTTGCTGTACATAGCTTCTTCATCCTTAAATAACCAACGCAACCCATCCAAAAATTCAGCCCAATCTTGAACCATCCCATTATGAAAGCCGTAACCATTATTCCTCATTATATCTTTAGCCACCCATCACCTTTCACTTTCATGTTAGGCTCTAACATAATCAGGGATCCAGGCCTTAAAAAACCATAGTTCATTCCAGTTTTTACACACACAATTGCACATGCCTTGGGCCTTAGGGGGCAACTTAAGGAAGATGTATATGCATAAAATTTTTGGAATTGATAACGCATGTGGGGCATCCTCTAGAGCCGCCATATGATGAGGGTCGTCTACTGAATCCATCTAACCTAACAAAACACCCAATAATCATGGTGTTAACACAACCACAATTACACATAATTCATGCAAACAAATACTCTATTTTTCAAAAATAATAACAATGTAACTCAATCACTTCTTAGCACAAAATTACTTAGTAACAAACAGCAAATTCGATCAATACTAATAAAAACGTAAAATTGACATAATATAAACATAATTCTATGATTAGACCTAACAATAACAACAATTAGCAGATGAAAGGGGATTATTTTTAAAATAAAAATCGCTTCATTTTAAACCCTAAATTGATAAACAAATCATCATCAAAAAACAACAAATAAAAACAATTACAAAAAAAAAAAGGTGTAAAATTATCAGAATTTTACCTTAAAATGCAATTATGATCCGTTTGTGCAAAGTTTTTCCAGAAATAGCTTCACTCCAACAGAGAATAGAAGATGAAAAGGAAGAGGAGAATATCCTTTTTTTTTGTCTTCACTGGAGTAAATAGTACACAAAGAAGAGAAGAGGGAGAGAGCGCGCGAAATTGGGGAACAAAGAAGCAGAAACTTCATTTCGATAACTGACGTCCTCGATTACAACAAAAAAATTAAATCCGCTTAATTCCTATTGGTTAACCTTAAGTGACTAAGTTTTTAACCAGAAGTGATTAAGTTTTTTCCCACAATTTAATTAAAAGCACCGGAAAATACACCTCAATCACCAAACTGCAATGTCAAAAAACTTGATCACGGTATTTGTGAAAACTTGATCACCAAGAGTTGTCTTAACTCGGAGTATTTTTATATACTTCATCAGTTCTTTTTTTATTGCACCATGAGGGATTTCACGCTTGCCAATGCATTACTTAAGCTATTAATATCTTCAATTATACTTTTGTAAAAATTATAAAAATTTGATATTTGAAAAGACGATTTTGATACGAATCTAACTAGATCCTACATAAATATATTTTTCATAATGGATAAATCAGAAATCATGGTCAAAGAAGATTAATTGAATAGTGTAAAAGTCCTAATGGTGCAATAAAATAAAAACGGAGGAACTATTAATATTTTTGTCCTTTATATTTGCCCCATTTAATTTTTCACATTTTACAAATTAAAAAACAAATGAAAATTTCTATAACTTCGCACATGCCAGAATAATAAAAAAATGTGATAACCTAAACAAATTAGTGATAATTTGTGATTAGAGTTTTTAAATATTTCTCATACATCATGAAAATATATGGAGTAATAAGCAAACAAATAGAGACACAAGAAGTAAGGTAGAGTATGACCATGGTCTTTTAAATTTCTAGACAGAGCAGATTTTAGCAAAGTAGAGAACATAGAGCAGAACGTATTTCAACTGAGCACAACAACTCTAAAAAAAACAGGGCATGATAAAGGGTAAAAATGATGAAATAACAGACAACAGCTACTACCGAGTACAGGACAAAACTTTTTAGACGCGGTAAAATTTTCCGGTATATTATACTCGTATGCAGCTGTAAACTCAACTGGGAAAACACAAACAAAATACAGATCACATCCCCCCAAATTTTGCAGCAGCTTCACCATTTCCTGCTTCCATGACCTCACTATAGTAGAATGAATCATTCACTCTACTGACCCAATTTGTCCGCCATTTCTGCAACCTTCCACAATGCTTCTCTCTTACCACATTTTCTTCCTTCTTTCTCTGTTTCTCTTTCTCTCTCCTCCTCTGTCTTCCGCCACCACCAACCTCGTACTTCCCCATCAACACCCTGACCCTGAAGCTGTTGCTCAAGATGTTCACAGGTATATTTTTCTTCATTTTACTGGAAAATTTCATCTGGGTTTTTCTTAGAAACTCAAACATTGATCTGGGTAGTGATTTGTTTCATTAATGTATGCATTTTGTAAACACTTTTCTCACTTGAGCATTTTATCGAACACCTAATGTGCTTAGAATTACTAGCATTTTGCTTTCTGTTTTAGCTTCTTTACTTAAATTGGCAACTTGTATATTCTATGAAAAACTGAGTCACAATTGGGGACAACCCCGGCTCAAATCCAGATTAATCGGAAGTCTAGTAGGCTCTGAATTACCAATTAGTCAGATTCTAGTAAAAGTGTCACTGACTTTATTGTATTCAATTACAGAATGGTGAATGCCTCACTTGTAAGAAGACAAATGCTTGAAGATTCCAAGCACACACCTTCATCCTCTTGCTTAACTGGCAACCCAATAGACGACTGCTGGCGGTGCGACCCACATTGGGCATCGAACCGCCAGAAGTTAGCCGATTGCGGCATTGGCTTCGGCCAATCCGCACTAGGCGGAAAAGGGGGTCAGATCTATGTAGTCACTGACTCATCCGACTCTGATGCAGTAAACCCGAAACCGGGTACGCTTAGGTATGGTGTGCTCCAAGATGAACCCTTGTGGATTGTTTTTTCGAGTGACATGACAATCAAGCTCAAATATGAGCTAATTGTTAGTAGTTACAAAACTATTGATGGTAGAGGAGCAAATGTACACATTACAGGTGGTGGGTGTATCACACTTCAGTATGTATCGAATATTATCATACACAACATCCATGTGCATAACTGTGTTCCTGCCGGCAATGCGCTTGTGCGGTCGAGTCCTACTCATGTAGGGTACCGGTCGAAATCGGACGGTGATGGGATGACAATTTTTGGGTCAAGTAATATTTGGATTGATCATTGCTCTTTATCTTCCTGTACTGATGGGCTGATTGATGCTACTGTGGGGACCACAGCTCTCACCATTTCTAACAGTCATTTTACTCACCATAACGATGTTATGTTGCTTGGTAATAGTGATGGCCATGTGTTGGATGAGGGAATGCAGGTATAATTTCTTATTCAATGTATGTTGGTATGTTCGTATTTTTTGTTTATATATACCTCCGCTAATTTTTAATTGCAACAAAAGGGTATTATTTATGAGACATGAAATATTTCTTTGTTTAACTAAGAGTTAACAAAGGTAGTATTTGATTCAATGAATTGAGATGGTAAAATAGTTTCACTTTAGCAACCCGACTCTAACGTGGTAGTGACATTTTGTTGATTGTGTAAAAAACAGGTGACATTGGCTTTTAATGTGTTTGGAGAGGGAGTAGTGCAAAGGATGCCTAGGTGTAGAAGAGGGTATGTGCATGTTGTTAACAATGATTTCAGGTATTGGGAAATTTATGTAATTGGAGGGAGTGATAACCCCACAATCAATAGCCAAGGTAATCGGTATACAGCCCCGGCCAACCCGTATATAAAAGAGGTTAGACAATTTGTACTTTTTGTCTTACCGCATTTGCTTTGGCTTCTCTGCTATAAATTTTTTTAATGCCTTTTGTTATGATTTCAAAAAATTGATAATTTGTTTTTCCACCCTTCTTGTCGGCCGATTTAAGTTTAATACTTGCATCTAATCCATTGTCATTTAAAATAATGCGCGTTTACAAATTGAAAAGTTAGTTAGGTGGTAAGATATTACTTTATGGAAAGGAGTAGCTAGATAGTGAAGATATTTCAAGATGGCACAAGCAGTGTTTTGAACTATTTCACTTGAAGTAATTTAATCCGTATATCTTTTCCCTTAAATGCTTGATAAATTCAGAGTATGGAGTATTATAGCTTTCTAAAGGAAACAAAGAACTTGTTTATTTTGTTCAGTTTTAGAGATTGTTTCTTGAATTTGTTTGTAGTATTATTGTTTATGGATCGGTGAGGAAGGGACCCACAAAAATATATGATAGACAAAATTTTGGACTTTTGAGACCAAGGACAACTGGTTTAACCAATTGAGGCTTTAAATAAAGACCTTTAAAAATTGGAATCTCATGTCAGTTCTCACTTCTCAGATATGTAGTCATACTGTCATAGTCTACCCAGTGGATGTGGGCCTGTCTGAAGGTGCTTGACAGCATATATAGAGAATCTTTGCCATCTTTTTCCCCAAGGATTTATTATCATTATAATTAATTATAGAATGTCATAGTATTCTATTGTTGAACATATTGAATTTAGTTATATTTTAAATTTGTATTGGAAAAATGCATGTTTGAATTATTTAATTAACGAGTGATGTTAGGTTGTTATAACAGATCAAGAACACTATCATATTTATAGAGTTACAATTTGTATATTCTAAAAATATGTCAATTTTTTCTCCAATCTAAAAGAGTAGTGCAAAGTAGTGGGTTGTAAGGGGAAATATGTCTACCTTTAATCCTCCAAAGTTATCAATCTTGATAAATAATATATTATATGCTCAAAATAGTTGTGCTGTTTGCCTTTTCATGGTCTCCAATGAACTACATTGGAAGCCTATAAAACACAATCCAACAATATTAAGCCACAATCTTACCTATTCTCCTATGCAGACCTAATAGCCCTACTGCCTCAAATCTAGTGTATCCACATGGATGGCATTGCCTTTACTATTTGTAATCTGCCTGTCAATTTCCTCATTGATGCTTCATCTTTGGTGTGATCCACAGCAATGACTGTGTATCATGTTATTTATGCTAGTAACGGAGCTTGCTATACAATGAAATTACATCTCTGAATGGGGCACGGTTTCTTTATGAGGAATAAAATTTGCTTGAGAATAACATGATTTGTATTCTGATTTACTTGAGCTGAACACACAAGAATGTACAATACAGTATTTTCTTTACATGTTATTAGTCTCCCTGGATGATATTTGTAAGATAGCTATTTAAAATGACATTAAATTATGAGTTAATTGTTGAATCTCCTTACTTAGAGGCTTGGAGTTTGGTCTTACTATTTCTGACTTCAGGGTTGTAAAGTGTCAACGAATTTAGTGTTCGAAATTTAATATATAAGTATAATGTGAGATTTGGTTTCCTCTTCTTTTCTCTTTTAAACAAGATGAATTCTGTGTTTGTAAATTAATGGACAGAGAAAAAAAAAAAAAAAGTCTTTAATTGTAATGTTGGAATGTCATCAGGTGACAAGGCGTGTGGAATCAGGGGATAAGAATTGGCAAAGTTGGAACTGGAGGAGTGAAGGGGACATAATGTTAAATGGAGCCTTCTTTGTGCCTTCTGGAAATGGTTTAACTTCACAATATACCAAAGCCTCTAGTATTGCACCCAAATCTGCAGCAGCTATTGACCAGATTACCATGTATGCTGGTGCTTTTGGAGACCCCAGGTAACTGTTAAACTAATCCAAGCTCTTGAATTGTTTCATCTGATTATTACTTTTACTCTTATAAGTTATACAAGATTATAATTTTTTTTTTTAAAATACTAATTTTCTGTAATATATTTTCCCTTTTAGTTGTTACTGCTTCAAACTAAGATGAGGAATGTGTAAAGTGAATGAGGAAAAGTATAAGAAACCATAAAAATTTTCAATTTTACAGTATATTATTCTGCTGGGAGAGAAAGTGAAAAGAGCTTCTTTTTTTTTTTTTTTTTTGTTTTGTTCTCTTTAAGAATCATATCCATAGGACCATAGCCTACTTTTGGGGCTTTTATCCCCGTCGTACCTAGCTATACCCTCCTCGTCCCCTATGGTACTTGATATCCCTTGTTTTAAGAGACATTGCAACATCACTCTCTAGCGTCCCTCACACGTACCAGGGATATTTTGAAGACGGAGAGCATGACTACTGATTCCTCTGTGCATCATGGCTTTATACTTGTTATTGGTTCTTCTGTCCTTTGCTGCTAGTTAATATTAATTGTGTGTCTAGAATGTCAAATAGATTGGCTGTTTCAATTACTTTCCATTAAATGTGTACTCCTTTTCTTTTCCTGTTCAAAGTATACTTGACTATTAGTGTCTTTCCTCCAAATACCAAAACTTGTACGTTCTAGCCAATAGATATTTGCACATTACTTTTAGAGATACATAGATGTATAAACTACTAACTTTGCTTCATTGACATCATCAATATCATGATACTCATAAAATGTACATAATCGTTATATAGGTTAGTAAACAAATGTAAAGGGGTAAAAAAAACCAACTCTGCAAATTAGGATATGGGCTTAGCTTCATAGCACAACACTAATGTACCCTGAAAAATACTTGTTCATTTTAATTGTCATCAATTCACTTTTTGTAAAGCTCCTCAAAAAGCTAATGCACAAAGTTAAAAGGTAAAGATTTCTCCTTTGCCACTGGTTGTGTTATCAAAATTGGCCCATCATCCATGTGCTGATAAGGCCTTTCTTCCTGATAATGACAGTTGCTGACTTTTAGCTCATCCTTGGTCCACACATCTTAGCTCATATCTACATTTTAGGTTGTTTCTGATCAGTGATTCTAATTTTTCTAATATTAAGCACATTTATGAAAGCATTACTTCTATGGAAATATGAAAGAGTCATTCATCTGTGGTTCATCAACACATTCATAGAAAGTATGTGAAATATTATAATTTCTAAGTGGGAGAAATATATCAATGTGTAACTAGTAAACTACGAGTATAAATGAGGAATAAAGTGAAACTTACCTAGCACCCATATAATAGCTCCATAAAATTATCCAACCAAAGAAACAAATTCCCTTTTCCATGCAATTTAGAGCTCCTATGCTTATCTGGCCTAACTAATCAGGAATTTCACGAGTAACAGGTTAGTCCTTCCTGTGATACTTTTGCAACAATAGTAACAAGTCACATGCAGAAAGATGAAAAAGATTTACAATACAAGTTATCTGGTCATGTATTGGCCACATTCCCATTGTTTATATGAAAGTCCAAATGATAATTATTGGCCTATTATTTCTAATTTTTTCCATACAAGAAAGGTTTTTTTTTATAGATATAGACAATGTTTCCAAGGGCTTCAATGTTAAAACTAGCGATTGTAGTCTGATAAGATATTCTACTTGCAATCAGCCATTTTTCGACCTGTTAGTGATTAGCTGCAACAGAGTAGTTTGTTATACTACGTAACTCTTTTTAGTGGTTTTTGTCCAGAACTCAGGGTAGGGGTACAACATAGAAATAAAAACTAATTGTATTCCCTTTTTTTTGTTTCGAAATATCCATAATTAGGAAGGTTGAACTAATAAAATTCACCTAGATATGAGGTGAAAATGTGAAACCTATTTTAACCTTGTTGAAATGTGTTTGTCTTGAGTATTAATAGACTGATAAGGTGAAGGCTACTTTATTGTATTGATGCATTGAGCTTTTGATATATATTACATACGAAATAGGGACTGCAGACTGCTAGATTTTAAGATTCAAACTTTGCAGCAGAAAGAAGTCTGACTATTAAAGAATTATCTTCAATCTTCGTCTTAATGCTCCAAATATTTACATTCTGCTAATCTGCTCCACAAATTTGCCAACAATGGCAGCTAGGAATGTGCATTGTTCATTTGTATCCTTGTTCTGCTTCATGGGTATCTGGCTTATAACATTCAGTCCCTCTAGCTGAAGCCTAAGACGAAATTGATCCAAGTTTGAGAAAACTGGTATAATTAGCAGTAGGGAATCACATCTTATAGAGCTGTAGATTTCTCGCATTAATCCAGTACTCTAGCTTCAGCATGGCTTGAATTTATAATGAGATATATTTAAGTTTTTCCCATTAGGGCCATTTCTGTAAGGGCTGTAACCCCTGTGAGGCCTGATATGGATCTATAAGCCTACTGGCTGCTGCGTGAAGTTTGCTGCCATCTTGAAGCAGAGTGTTTACTTCCATGTCACTTGACCCTAGATCCAATCCAAGCCCCAAGCCACTCATCTAATTCATCTCTACCAATAAGTTTGGTGGTTTTAAGAAAAGCCATCTTATTTCCAATTTTCCATAATTAAATTGTGCCCAAATCTATTGTCCTGGCTTCAAGATATATATTGTGGGGCAGCCAGTCCAGATTTTGGGCGGTTGCCCACTTTTCGTCTGCCATTGATAATTTTGGCACTCGGGTAGGTTGATTACCAAACGAAGCATTCTCTATGTGTAGACATTACCTATGATATGTCTGGGTCCTGGCTTTTGGCCTTACTCCAGGTCTGTTTTTGGCCTAGCCCATGATCTGCTCTAAGCTCACCACAATCATTTCACCTAATATTTCCTTTCATCTTTGAATGATCGTCAAATAAGATTATAATTCTTTTGATTTGACTCAACAAAATCCATCATTAGAATTTGCTTATTCTTTCTTTAAGGTGGATGCCATGATTATTACCACTGTGTCCTTGAATGTTATTTTCCTGCACTATTAATACTACTGTGAAAATAAGGAAATACTGCAATATCTATGAACTTTCATAGAAGGAAATGTTGCAAAATTTTATGGAACGAAAGAAAAAGAAGAAAGAATCTACTAGTCAAGTGCTGGAAAGTTACGTGATTTAATTGAACTAGGAACAATTCGTGCTGTTATAATTACAGAGATTGTTATGTCAAAGATGTAAACTATGCATTTGTGTGATAAAGTGGTCGGTGGAAAAGTTTCCCAACTTTTTTTTTTATCGTAAAGTTGGGTTTGTAATAAAACAGTTTAATAGAGATGATAGATATAAGACAGCTAGTATGAGCCTGCATTCCAAATCATGTTTCCATAGTTATGTGAGTTTACCGAAGGATCTAGTAGTTGATATGAGCCTGCATTTTCCAAATCATGGCATAGTTATAGGCCAATGGAGGGCCGAACCATGTTGAATTGCTGCTTTGATATGTTCTCCAAATCATTGAGTTGGGATTTTTTTGCTTATATTAAAGCATCATTTTAATATTATATAGACTATGTACCTCATGAACTAATTGATTTCAACTTTGTATACATGTAGGGATGACACAAACATGCCACAAGGCGGTGGAACAAGCACGAGTAGCAGCAGTCAGGCTAAATCTGGCTATGGATCCAGCTCTGGCTCTGGCTCTGGCTCTGGATCTGGATCTGATGGTGATACAGACTACTTTGGCATGATGTTTGGGAGTGGCGGACCACCATCCTTATCTAAAGCCTCCATTTTCTTGGCTATTGTTGTCGTTTCAATAATTTGCACGATTACTAACCACGATAACTTGATGTCCTTAACATTATTGTGTCTATAGTTATTAATCAAAACAATTAAACAAAAACCCGGAAAAAAGTTACCAATTTTCAGTAATGTCCTGCGGCTTTGTAACTTAATCTGCTACCATGGGGGAAGTTATTAAACACAAGAACAGAACCCAAAGTAGTATGGGCTGAGCTGAACTGTATATTTTGGAATCATGAGAAATGCCTAATCTAATCACTAATTAATTATTCTTCAATATGTAATGTGCTCTTGAATCTTGTCTCCAATTCAACCTTTTACCGTCTAACATACACTAATTCATGTACGAAAAAAATGCTCTCGATGGCCGCAACTGGTGAAAATGGAAATTCAAATGAAGAACATGACCAAATTGCTCGTTCTACTAAGAAGCCTAAGAGAAAAATTATTCATCAAAACTCTGGTGGAAGCCAAGGTTTCAATGATGATGTGATGGAAGTGGAGAATTTGCATCAAGGGGCCAATTCTAAGGCTATGGAAAATAGCCCTAATGGTGTGTTCAAACCTGCTGAATTACCAAAATCCCAGCCCTCGTTTAGAGATCTTCTGAAGGGATATGGTAATACTCAACTGATGCATCAATCTTTGACTATTGGTACGGAGATTGAGGATGATGAGATTTTGGATGATGAGGAACCTCCGGAGGAAATCCTCAATGACAGCAGGTGCCCTGTAATTAGCCTTTCGAAAGAGGAGAAAAAAAGACTAAGACAACCATGGACTACTTCTCTAATTATCAAGATGTTTAGTGGAAATCTTGGTTACATGGGCCTGATGAGGAGGTTAAAGAAGAAATGGAACATTCGTGGAGAATTGGCTCTGACTTATATTGGCTGCAATTTTTATATTGCAAGATTCACTAATGAGGCTGATTACAATTATGTTCTTACTCAAGGTCTATGGTTGTTGGATGATAATTATCTCACGATTCGAAAATGGGTCCGAATTTTGTTCCTGATGATGCACCTATCAAGGTTCTAACTGTATGGATTAGGATACCCAATCTTCCAGTTGAATACTTCGATATCAACTTCCTTAACAAAATAGGGTCGAAAGTTGGTAAGGTGTTAAGGGTGGATAAAACAACAGCACAAGCAGAAAGAGGACATTTCACAAGAATCAGTGTTGAAATTGATTTATCTAAACCCTTACTCTCGAAATTTTGGCTTAAGGGAAAGGTTTGGAGAATCCAATATGAAGGAATTCGTATGGTTTGTTTCAAATGTGGTAAACTTGGACATGTTGAAGATGACTGTAAGCCAGATGAGGCTTTTGAGAATAATCCTCATGTTCGAATTGAAGAAAATCCCCTGTTTAATCAACAAGGAAAGCCTGAGGAATTGGAGAACTTTGGCTCATGGATGTTGGTGAAAAAACCAACTAGAAAGTATGCTCCTCGTCAACCTGAGGGTGTACCAGCTGCTGAAAAACTCAATTTGGGTGGTAATGGGGTGGCGCGTGATGCTCAGAGAACTCAGAAGGAGGGTGAGATGGTTAAGGAAGGTAGCGGATTTCAAGGGGGAGGTTCTAGATTTTCCATATTAGATAACCATGATAATATGGAAATAGAGAATAATGGGAGTGATTTAAGGGAAATTGTTAACTTGGATGACCCTTCACAGGCAGGTTTAGGAGATAAATTTGCAAATTTTGATATTGGTAATATTGATGTGGGAATTAGGAAGGATTCGAAAGTGACAATTAAGAAAAAATCTTTTTCAAAAAAGATTGATTCGAAGATAAGCAAGGATATTTGCAAATCTTTTTCCCAAGATTCTATCACTCCTCTCTCGGAAATTAATCCTAACATTCCAAGAAGCCTTTCCCCCTCTGCTGTTATTCATGCCAAAAATAAGGAAACTACTTCTCTTGACCACCAAGGCATATCTTTGAAGTCATTGCAAGTCAACCCAGGACACTTCGAAGCTATTGAAAGTACTACTCAAGCCATCGATAGCCAAGAAATAGCCAAAACTCATGTCTCCTCAACTTTCCCCGATAAGTTTAGTGATCCCTCCAGACAAAACACTATGTGTGGGGCAATTAATGGAGAAGCCATACTTGGTGATGGTGAACCCCCTGATCCACACTCTGGAAATCAGGATAGAGTCCTGGATGCCACCGGTTTCGGACCCCCCGGAGCTGGTAATGATGATGGGTATACCTGTTGAAACGCAACGCTTGTTGCGGTTAATAAGTCAAGCATATGTGACAACTCTCCCATCGATACCTATGTCTATGGAAGATATTCTACCTAATTTAGCTCCAGATTCCTTACCAATCACGTGCTTGGTGTGGAATGTTCAAGGTGCGGGTAATCGCAATTTTTTATCTATCCTTAAGGATTTAATTCGAGAGAATAAACCCAATGTCTTTGTTCTTGTGGAGACACACATGGGTGGTGCGCAAGCTGAAAAAATTGCCTCGATGGTTGGCTATTCGGGTCACTCAAGAGTAGACGCTGTTGGTTTTAGTGGTGGGATTTGGGTTTATTGGCGTCCGGATGTTGTTACTGTCAATCCCATTTATAAACACAAACAATATATCACGATGGATATTTCTAGACAAGGAGCTATCCCCTAGTACTTCACTGCTGTATATGCGAGTCCGGACCTTTCCCAACGCCAAGAGTTATGGCAAGAATTGAAAAACTTTGCAACAACCCACAATAAGCCTTGGCTCATTGCGGGTGATTTTAATGATACGAGGTTCCCCTCGGAGAGGAACTCATCCTGTCGAGAGACTACTAGGAGGTCGCGTTTGTTCAATGATTGGGTGGAAGAAATGGATCTCATTGAGGTCGAATTTATGGGAGCAACCCACACTTGGAGCAGGGGCAATTCTGAAGAGACGAGAAGAAGTGGCAGGCTCGATAGAGCGTTGTGTACTGACAATTGGGCTCTTCGATTCGATAAGGCCAAGGTTAAACATCTGCCTGCTATACATTCTGATCATTGCCCAATTTTTATCTCACCAAATGGTTTTGTACCTTTACAAGCCTTACACCGTCCATTCAGATTCCAAGCAACTTGGTTAACGCATGAAAATTTCAAGGAGTTTGTATCTCAAAAATGGGATTCGAATGGTACACTCATGTCTTCTCTGTCAAAGCTATCGACAGACCTTCAATGTTGGAATAGGGATGTCTTTGGAAATGTGTTCAAGCAAAAGAGAAATTTGATGGCAAGGATTGCAGGGGTTCAAAGAAAACTTGCTGAAAAATCAATAGAGGTCTCATTAAACTAGAAGCTCGTTTGCGCAAGGATCTTGATGAGATTTTGGATCGTGAAGAAATTATTTGGTATCAAAAATCCCGGGTTGACTGGCTTAAAAATGGGGATAGAAATACTACATTTTTCCATTTAAGCACCATAGTACGAAGGTGGAAAAATAAGGTTGCTGCCATCAAAGATGAAAATGATGTTTGGTTGGAGGATAAATTGCAAATTCAAGACCATATTGTTCAATACTTTGCCAAGCTGTTCACAAAAGAAAATGAGCCGAGTTCTTTTGATGTTCCCCAAGACATTTTTCCGGAGCTTTCTACCCAGGATTGGAGTGGGCTGGTTCGACCTTATTCGAGACTAGAAGTTGAAGCTGTGATAAAGGAAATGGGCTCCCTAAAAGCTCCGGGACCGGATGGATTTCAAGCCCTTTTTTACCAAAAAAAAATTGGGATGTGGTGGCTAACACGGTGTATGATACAATTATGCCTATCCTAGAAGGTAAGGGTATCCCTGATCGCCTCAATGAAACATACATCACATTGATACCAAAAATCGATAATCCAGAGCTCGCGTCTCACTTTCGCCCCATTGGACTATGTAATGTGGCATATAAAGTGGTCACCAAGGTGATTGACAATATACTTAAACCGGTCCTGCCTCATTTAATCTCTAATACTCAAGCTAGTTTTGTACCGGGACGCCAAATCACGGACAACATTGTCATTGTGCAAGAAGTAATTCACACGATGAGACGGAAGCAAGGAAAAAAGGGGTATATGGCAATTAAGATCGACTTTGAGAAAGCATATGATAGATTGCGATGGTCATTTATTAGGGATACCATGGTACAAATGAACCTCCCTATTTTTATGATTGAGGTTATCATGGAGTGTATTTCCACAGCTTCTTTGCAAGTATTATGGAACAGTGAGCCCTCAAAAAGCTTCAAACCGAGCCGAGGTATACGGCAAGGGGACCCTCTTTCCCCATACCTCTTTGTAATGTGTATGGAGAGGTTCTACCAAGTAATCGAGGAATCTATTATTCAAGGTAAATGGAAGCCTATATACGCCAGTCGAGATGGTCCAGCCTTATCGAACTTGTTTTTTGCCGAAGATATAATTCTTTTTGCTGAGGCTACAATTGAACAGGCAGAAAATATTCATAAATGCCTAGACCGATTCTGTCAAGCTTCTGGTCAAAAAATAAGCTTTGCCAAATCACGAGTTTATTTTTCAGCAAATATGGATGATGATTCTCAACAAGCGATAAGTGCAACCTTGCGTATGGAAGCTACCCCTGATCTTGGTACTTACCTCGGTATGCCCACGCTTACAAGTCGAGTCACAAAGGAGACGTTCAGCCACCTCTGTGAAAAAATAGATAGGCGATTGTCGGGTTGAAAATCAAAGTATTTGTCGTTGGCGGGCCGTATCACTTTAGCTAAGTCCTCCATCTCAACCATGGCTCTTTATTCTATGCAATCGGCTAAGATTCCGAAATCAACTTGTGAAGAAATTGATAGAAAAACCCGTAGATTTATTTGGGGTGGAAGTGATGAGAAAAGACGAGTGCATTTGCTGTCATCTGCAACGACCCATTGAAAAAGGTGGGATTGGTATTTTCTCGGCTAAACAGGCTAATGCGGCTTTCTTAACAAAGCTTGGTTGGAGAATTCTCTCGGAACCTAATGCCTTATGGTCTAGAGTGTTGAGAGCTAAGTATTGTAAGGGCCGTTGCGATATGGATATGTTTGAACATAAGGTGGGATGCTCTAATGTGTGGAGTGGGATCACAAAAAATTCGAAAACGCTTAATGAAGGTCTAAGAGTTGCGGTGGGCAATGGTGGAAAAACTTTGTTTTGGGATCACAAGTGGGCTACTAATGAACCCTTCAGAGACCTCGTTACCCAACCTCTTCCAATGGAATTGGCAGGTTCGACAGTGGGTGAGATGTGGGAGGATGGGCATGGATGGCGTTGGAACATCTTTGCCCCATTCCTTGATCAAAGTGTTCTTAAGAAAATTCAAAATTATGAGGTGAGACTTGATTCCTCGATTGGTGATTTGGTGTATTGGAAGGATGGTGATAAGGGGAAGTTCAAAATCAAGTCGGCCATCCAGATTATGCAACATCATACCGATGTCTTAGATGAAGAATGTTGGGATGCGGTTTGGCATGCCCCTTTCCAACAGCGTATTAGAGCTTTCCTCTGGTTAGCTTGTCACGATAGGGTGCTTGGAAACTCAAATATGTTCAAGAGGCGCATGACTGACAACCCGAGGTGTTACATATGTGGTGGTGCTGATGAGAGTACCCTCCACATTATTAGGGACTGTGCGGCTGCTCGAGTTGTGTGGCGTAATGTGGTGGATGACTCAATTAGGGACAGATTCTATCATGGCAATTTGAAAGAGTGGATCACTGAGAATATAAAAGAACTCTTTGGAAGGAACGGAGTCTTGGGAAACCTTCTTTGGAGTTGCGGTTTGGTGGATATGGAGATGGAGGAATTGCTATGTTTATAATAGACACAATGAACTTCCCATTGATGCGGGAGTGTTTCTTCAAGTGAGGTATGAAGAGGCTAGACGGGCAATTTGGGATGCATTGGACGACAGCAATGCAAAGCCACGCTACAAGGTGCCAGTCAACATCACTTGGCATGCCCCCCCCCCTATGGCTGGTATGTGCTTAATTGTGACGGAGCTGCTAAGGGATGTCCTGGGCCAGCTGGGGGAGGGGGAATAATTTGAGATTATGCTGGAAACATGGTGTCTGCTTTTGCAGCTAGCTTTGGGTACTGTTCTGCATTTTGAGCTGAAGTGTTGGCCTTAGTTCGAGGGCTAGAAATTGCTCGCAATCTTCAGATTGACAAGCTAGAAGTCCAAGTTGATAATCAGGCTTGTGTACACGCTTTGAACACGCAACAAGTTGCTTATGGGGAGAATATCCATGACATCAGGCAATGTTTAGATCTTCTTAATGACAATTGATGGCAAGTGAAGTTGGTCCATGTGTTCCGGGAGGGCAATAGAGCAGCGGATTGGTTGGCCAACCGCGGAGTCATTCAAGACTCTCAACTTGAAAATTTTAATAATAACATTCCGGTGGAGCTTAGTCGTATTTTAGAGGAGGACATTCGAGGTGTGGCTATGCCACGGCTAATCCCTCCTTAGTTAGTTTGTTTTGCTTGTGTTTTTTTTTTATTTCGGTATTTTCTTTTTCTTTGGATGTAAGCATCTTCACTTGGATCAAAAAAAAAATACACTAATTCATGTGAGGCCATAAGGATAGATAATGGATTTCCAATTGGTATTACATGCACCAGGCCCAATTCTCCACCCAGCCCAGTAAATTCGCGTCCAACAGTCTAAAGGCCCAGTCATTTTTTTTTTGGTTTTCACCATTAAATTTTGATTTTCTCTTTTTTCTACATCTAAATTCTTTGAAAACCTAAATTTAAACTTTCAACAACCCTTTTCAATTTTTCTCTCTCCTTTTTTTTTTTTTTTGAAGATTATTTTTGTTTTCCTATAAATTACTAGAAGCTCTAAAATTTTTAACAATGGGGAAAACTCTACTTTCTCTATCCACTTTAAAAATAATGGAGATTTGCTTTTTTTTTTTTTTTTTTTTGGGGGGGGAGCTTTTTGGCCAATTTCGGTGGATTGTGCAATAAAATTAGCAAATTAGATACTAATCGTTCCATATCTCTTACCTTCATTTTTGTGTTCATACATTTCATGTTTGATGTTCATATACGTTGTCTTTTTAGTTCATATATATATGTTGTATGAAGTAATAATTTGTGTATAAATTTTATCAAGTATATTGGTATGAATTAATAATTTATTTGGATATTATGTATTTCCTTTTTTTGTTGTTTAATATTTAATTATAGACCTACTACTGAACACCTTCAAGAAATTTCTGAACATCCCCTAGAAACTTTTGATAAGATACCAAAAGCAACACAAAAGCCCCCATAAACTTCTGATAAGCCCCTAGAATTTTATGATAAGCTACCGGAAACACTGAACCAACCTCAAAATCGTCTGAACCCCCTACAAAAACTTCTGAACTACAATTAAAAACCATTGAACACCTTTCAAATACATTATAACCACCTTAAAAAACCTCTGAACCCCAACCACAAACAACTTAACACCCTACCAAAACCTTTGAACCCCATACAAAACTTTTGAACCCCAACCACAAACAACTGAACACCCTACCAAAACCTCTGAACCCCCTACAAAAACTTTTGAACCCCAACCACAAACCACTAAATACCCTACAAACACCACTGAACCCTAACCACGAACCATTGAACACCCTACAAAAACCTTTGAACCCCCTACAAAAACTTCTGAACCCCAACCACAAACCATTGAACACCCAAAAAAAATTCTGAACCCCAACCACAAACCATTGAACACCCAAAAAAAAAATTCTGAACCCCAACCACAAACCATTGAACACTCTACAGAAACCTCTGAACACCAACAAAAACTTTTGGACCCCAACCACAAACCACTGAACACTTTACAAAAACCTTTAAACCACCTACAAAAACTTCTGAACCCCAATCACAAACCATTGAACACCCTTCAAAAACTTATGCACCTAAAGACACTGCTCAAAATGTTGCTCAACCTTCAGACTATACTTATAAATAACTTCATACGTTATACCTGCAATAAACAAACACAGTTCATAATACCATTACTGAAGTTCAGAAATAAATCAACAAAGTTCAAATACAGGAAAATGTTCATAATTACGTTTTCAATTTTTTTTTAAAAAAGCATATATATACATATATATATATATATGCTTAGAGAATTATGTAAATCAGAAAGGTTCATTAAAGTAACCTAAATATTCATAAAAATAGAAACAGTGTTCATAATATGATACTGCTAATAACAATTTTGATAATAAATAAAATGAAAAGTGTGTCACTCGAATTATATGAACAAAATGTTTAAAAAATGATATAAACAAATTATATT